GTTTCCACCGCTGCGGCGGGCGCTTCGACCGCGATCTCCGGAGTTCTGCAGACAGCATGGTCGCATTCGCGGGGTCCTTGCACCACCAGGACAGAAGGGAACAGGAGGCGTGGGAGGAGGATGAATTAACACGAGATAGAGGCAGAGGTCGGAGGAAGGAGGACGCGGCAGAATGAGGAGGAGGAGGAGGAGGTATGGGGCCAGAGGCAGGTGGAGGAGGAGGAGGAGGAGGAGGAGAAGGAGGAGGAGGAGAAGGTCAAAAAGGTCAGGTCGAGCGAGTCAGCGGGCCCCGCCTCATCCTGGCCTCCCCCCCACAACGTGAGAAGCAATTCTGGCACCACAGGTGGTAGGGGGCGGGAGGCAGGAGGTATGAGGAGGCACTTCCGCGTCCCCTTCCCGCGTCACGAGTTTTTGTCATTGCAGGATGCGTGAAATTGAGATTCGGTGTGCATGCTTCGGGCTATGCCGCGCCTTGCAGGATTAGGTCTAGGGTGCTTCCAGCCGTGTTGCCACACGGCCTGAGGGCAACGGCGCGGGCCGTGTCAACATCAGGCGGCTGGCCCGCAGATGTGGCATGTTGGCACGTCGTGGCTTCGGGAGCGCGGGCTCGTGGCCTGGGAGCGCGGGCCCGCAGCTTTTGCTGCAGCGCGGGGCCGCAGCCCAGGAGCGAGGGTCTGTGCTGCCTCTCCTGTGTGTCGGGTGCTCGCTCTGAATCAGCAGCGCCGCGCCCCAACTACACCCATCCCCCCCTCTTCATCTCTCTCTCTCTCTCTCTCTCTCCCTGCCTGCCTCCTGCTCTCCGCGTGCCCATTCTGGCACCCATCACGCGGGTCGTGCCCCCACGGGAAGCTCCACCCACGGCCACGGGAGGAGGAACTTGCATGGCGTCCTCGGCACACACGGCTCACACGGATCGTGCCCCCATATTGGGGGAAGCTGCATGGCGTCCCCGCGCCCGATCCGGCAAATACCCTTCGCGAGGATCCTGCTCCACGGGCCAATCCCATCTGGTGGGCGGGTCTCTTGATCTTCACGGACGTGCCAACGCAGGCCCGCTGGACACACCACCGCCGGGGGGCCCTCCCACAACAGCGTTTCGCAGTGCACTTGGCCGCAGGCCAGACTTTGAACAGAAAAGTGGAGAGGGCGAGGAGGGGCAGGAGGGGGAGGGGGGAGGCTGTAGGCTCCAGCTCTGTGGATTGAAGTTCGCCCAGCGTTACACAGGGAGGGGGAGGGAAGGTGGAGGGGGAGGCAGGGGGGTCCGTTGTGCCCTCCCCGCCTGCCTCGAAGAACAACCAACTGCATAGGCATATTTTCTCGGAGGTCGCGCGGAATTCTTGGATCGGCGCTGGGCTCTCCTGGCGGCGCCTCTGTCGCCGCCCCTGGCGCGCTCCTCGCGCCAGGGAGTGGTGTCCAGCGCCGATCCAAGAGTGCCTCGCGGACCTCAGAGAAGTTCAGTTTATGGATGTTTGTTGTTCCTTGCTGCCTGCGAGGGCACGTGGGCCCACGGCCGCTACGACGGCCCTGGCGTCTTGCACTGCGCCAACGGCACATGTGAGCGCCACAGGTGCCCCCACCTGCTGACTACGAATATCTGCCACGTCTTCGACAACTGTGATCATTACGATGACGATTGATGAGGACGATGATGGTTAACGGAGGTAAGGGTTGTAGTGTCGATGACGACGATGGTGATGACCACGATGATGGTAGTTGCCATCTTGGGCCGAGGGCAGATGTGCATGGCAGCAAGGACCAGAGCGGGCCAGCCAGGTCTGGCGTCCCTCCTGCCAGGTTAGCTCTCCGTTTGCTCTCCACCGCGCCGCGCGCTGCATCACCCTCGGCGCTGGTGTATCCCTGGCCGACAGCCCGGCCTAATCCGGCCTAATCCCGATCAATCGGGGGGGCTTTTGAGGCCAGCCTGGACTACTCGAGGGGGGGCCGTGGAGGCCAGCCCGGACCACTTGGGGCGTTACCGCCTAGGGCCGGGGACACCGCAGTGCAACACCCGGCCCGCGTCCCTGACCGCCGCTGGCGCCCGCGGAGGTCGCCCTCTCCTCCCCAGCCGCCCCCTTGGCAGGTACAGTTGCGGGCTGCTTGTGAAGCGGGAGGTCGGCCGCCCGCCGGCCGGGCCGGGGGGAGCTTCCGGAGGACGCGTCGGGAGGGTCGGAGCGTCGGGTGCTGCAGAGGTTGCCCCTCCCCAGTCGCTCCGCCTCTCCTTTGCATCGACCCCCATTCGCCCATGGATCGCCGACAGGGGTCTGCTAGCCCCACCCTTGCCCAGGAACATGCGCATTCGCTACGGGGGGGCCTATCCCAGATCAATCGGCGATGTGTCGTCGATGCAGGTCGATGTTGCCTCCCCCATATGCCAGTCCCTCCCCCCTCCCTCCCTGTGCCGATCGAGCGTGTCCGAGGCCCCGTTTCGAATCTCGAGCGATTTCCCTCAGCCTCTAGCAGGGGGGCGGGTTTGGCTGTTTGGGGCGATCTTGGGGGCCTCTCGGGCCGCTTGGGGCAGTCGGAAAGCCCGAAAAGGTGGTGACGCCCAAATCCCTCAACAACCTACGGGACATCTGTTTGCTTTCTGGGCCTTGGGGGTCCTTCCAGAAACCCCTACTTATTTTCAACCGGATTCGCTGTCGGCGTCACCGCGGACGTTGTCCATTCGGGACACGCGTCGCTTTCTCAGCAGCGGCCGCTATCTGTTCTGCGCCACGTGTTGTGTTGGGCATCGTCCTGATTTGTTTCGTCCCCATTTCGGGCGTGCCAAGATTATAAGGGGCGTGTGTAGAGTATTAGGGCACAGCAAATGCCTCCACGAGTTGGCGGCGACGCTGGCGCCAGCGCTCAAGGTTTTGAGTGCCTCTTACCGCCTGGGGTTCCGTGTCGGACCCCTGCGGCCCACAGAACAACCCAAGGCGCGAATCCCATACGAGAGGTTGTGTTGGGACACTCGGGCCAGACAAACGGGTAGGATAGGGAATGGGTGGATTACGAATCCTGCCGCCAGGCCCATTCCGCCCTGCCGGCAGGCCCATTCCGCCCTGCCGCCAGGCCCATTCCTCGTTACATAGGCGCCTCCCGGCGCCAGGAGGCGCCAGGAAACCAGTTACGTGAGCTGATTATCTATCCTGTCCTTTGCTATCCTAATTACCCTTTCGCCCCCCCGACACTCTGGAGGCCCCCGAGAACGGAGATCGTTCGAGCTTGAGCGGTCCATGCGATGTTAGGAACCGGGGTCCGCATCGTCAAGACAGGAGCATGCCGAAGGGCGGGCTGGTGGAGGAGTGTGGCAGCGGGGAGGACAAGCAGGGCACAGGAGAGGAGAGGGACCACCGCGACACCCTGGCCCACCGCAGGAGGAGGAGGAGGAGTGTAACTTGTTCCCCCCCGCCAGCCCGATTGCCCGACTTACCGTCGGCTGCGTCCTCGTGCTCGTTGTCGTCGTCCTCGTCGTCTTCTTAGTCATCGTCGTGATCTTCTTCGTCCTCGTCGCCCGTGTCGTTTTTGATGTCGTTTGGCTCGTCGACGTCAACGTCGCTTTAGTCGACCTGCTTGCTCATCGGCGTCTCTCGTCCCCCGTCGTTGTATTTCGTCGTCGTTCTGCTCGGTCTGGTCGTCGTTGCCATCATCGTCCTCGCTCTCCTCGTCATCGTCGTTGTCATCGGCGGCTGCTTCGTCGTCGTCGCCATCATACTCGTCGTGCTCGCCGACCCGTTCGGGCACGCCTGCTCCCGCCCGCTGGCCCTACCCGCCCGATACGGTCCGCTCGGTTTGGGTTTCGGCGTTGCGATTCTAGCGTCGCGGTTTCTTGTTCCGCGGTTTATGACTTCGCAGTGCATGGGAAGAGTAGGAGCGAATGGAGGATGCTCGCCTTCTCCAGGCAAGCTTGCCCTCTTCGGGGACAGCAGGTCATCTGGACAGCTGGTCGCCTTCTGTTGCCCAGCCCATTCCATCCATCTCCTTCCCAGCTCCACTTTTTCTCCACCCCCGTGCCATTCTGCCATTCCGTTCTCCCTCCCCGCTGCCCTCCCCCATCCACCTTCCCTGTCCCCTCCCCTCTCCCTCCCCCCCCCTGCCCTCTCCCTCCCCCCCTCCCGCTCGTCCCCCCCCCCCCTCCCGCCCCTGTCGCCCCCCCCCTCTCCCCCCTTTCTCCCCTTGCTGGTGGCAGGTGCTTCCCTTGGCCCTGGGCCGCGGGACCCTTGGGAAAGCCCTCACGGGCAAGGCGGACCTGTCCCAGACCAGAGAGGCGCAGCCCCGGCCGCCGCGGCCAGCCGGCCAGTGGCCCCTGCCCGTGCGCATTCCGCCCGTCGTTTCCGGAAGGGAGGGAGGTCAGCCACGCGCAGAAGGGGGGTAGGGGGAGGGGGGGAAGGCTTCTTCGAAGGAGGCTGCTCCTCAGAAGGCGCGGGCCTTCCATCTATGGATAGATGCCGGGCCGGCGCCCTCTCAGAAGCAGCCTCCTTCTAGGAAGCCTTCCCCCCTCCACCTGCCCCCTTGTGCGCGCTGCCAGGGGAGGGTGCACGCGGAGGTCTGCTGCAGGGTCCGTGCAGGCTCACGGGCAGGTCGGGCGGGTGGGACGTTGCGGCGGGCGGGCGTGGTGTCATGTTGAGGGGTGGGGCAGTGCAGCTTACAGCGGGTGGGACTGGCAGACGATTCCTCACCGGGCCGGTCTGGCGGGTCGGGCTGGGGGTCCCTGATGGGCGGGTCGGGGTTGGTGGGGCATTCAAGCGGGCGGGCGGGCACGGGGCGCCGAGGGACTGCAGAGCAGGCTGCAGTGGGCGCGCGGGGCCGTCGCTGATGCAGATGGTGCCGCAGAACAGGACGGCCCTTGTAGCACCAGACCCCGCGAAGCTGGAGGATCGGGGGCGGCCAGTGAGAAGAGGGATGGAGTCTGGCGGGCATGGCCCCCGCCACGGAATCTCCCCGATATCATGGCACCTTCTTCTTCTTCTTCTTCTTCTTCTTCTTCTTCTTCTTTTTGTTGCTTCTGCTCACACGTCCCTTGGCAACCACTCGTCCGCGCACATGCCTCGGGCCATGATGCGCTACTCCCCCCGCTCCTCCAGGCCCCTCTTCTTCGGCACACCCAAGGCGAGGGAGGAGTGCAGTAGTCGGAGAGGCATGGTCTTCGCACGTCGTCTGTGGATTTCGGGTTGCCGCTAGCTGCTCGTTCATCGGTCTCGGCCGCCTCCTGCTCCTACTGCCCCCCTCTGCTTTCCCCCTCTCCTCGATGGGACCCGAAAGCGTCAGGGCTTAAACACAAATCCTTGTCATACAACGTTTTCACACATATTTCAACATGTTGTACCCCGGTAGTGAGAACGACCAGAATTGTCCACCGAAACAGTGGAATAAGTGTTCACCCAAACGGCCTGGGCAGTCCTGGGATCCGAAGGACGTTCGGAACTGGTTCGAAAACGGTTCGGAGCCATTTTGAAATAATGCTGATCTGGACCAGGCCCTCACCAGGGGAAACGTAAAAGGCACGGTAAAACAACAGCGCCAGAAACGTACAACAAATTGCGCTGGAAGCGGCGCAGCACAGTTGCAGATCGAAAAACATACCTCGTCGTTCCCAGGGCCCACAAAGCTTTCTCCGTCCTCCATTTTCCTCCGTAGCTCTTTTGGCTCTAGCGAGCTGTGCTTCGGGAGGCACTCGCGAGCGCGCCCGCGATGGAAGGCAGGGCATGTGCTGCCTCCAGCGCGCAGACGCTGACAAGGAGATTGATAAAGCGCGCGCTTATACTTGTTCGTGGCACTCTATGCTTCATTCCTTCTCAGGCTGCTCAATTCGAGTGTGTCGGATCAAACCAGACCTGATGTTACTCCTTCTCCCCGTCATCTTCGCCGTCGTCGTCGCCGTCGTCCTGTTGCCTGTGTCCCCCAGATACCTCCAGAGATCGGAGGTGGCAGCAGGGGTTGATCTGGGGACTCCGATTGCGGCGTTCCGATCGCCCATGTCTTCGACGAGGCTTCCGGTGAGTACCCTGGGCCTTAATGGGCCCAGATCTGCTTCGTGATTGTGAGTTCGATGAGCTTTTGTTTGCGGAAGCGGTAAACAAAATGGTTCACCGAAACGGGCTGCGAAGTCCGTGGATCCGAAGGACGTTTGAAACCGGTTCGAAAGCGGTTCGGACCCGGTAAACAAATTGTGATCGGGACCAGGCCTCCACCAGTGGAAACGAAAACGGTTAAATCAAACGGCGCCGGACACGTCCCCAGACCAACGCGCCAGAAATTGTGAAAGATTTGGACCGAAATTGCCCACTACTCCTGGGGCAGGGCCGAGCGGCTGCGGCGGCAGTTCGGTGCAAGGGCTTCAGGTCTGGCATCCTCGCGCACTGGCTCTTCGAGGACCGCATGGGCGTCCACTGCGGCACCGTCGGCTCGGCGAGGCCATCGTCGCAGGGACGCTCGTGGGGCTGGACCTGCAGGTTGCGACTGGACGCTTACAGTTCGCGAGCTGGTCCGACCATGCAGTACCGCGTGGGCTGGCGAAGCCCAGGGTCATGCCCGATGCCGTGAGGACGGACGCTGTAGAGGCGTTCCTCCGCGAGCTCAACAGGAAGCCGAGCGTGAACAAGCTGCGCGCGGAGCTCGGCGTTCCTGTCGACGAGGACGAGGAGTACGCCGAGCAGGGGATCGAGGTGGTGCTAGCTGCGCAGCTGCCGATGGGGACGGTTTGTTCGCCGCGCTGCCGCGCGACGGCGACGACTTTCTCGTGGCGTGCGCCCATGTGCTGGCAGGGACGGGATGGTCGGCCCCGTGTTGCCCCAGGGGCCCGAGGAGGGAGGGAACGCCGCGCTGGCCGAGACGGTCGTGGGGAGCGCGCCCTCGAGCGTGGGTCGGGCAGTCGGGGCGGAGCCCGACTCGGCCGACGTCCTGACGCGGGCGATCCGTGGCGAAGATCGACAGAGGAGGAGAAGGTACCCATACCGCTACCCTTGACTCGTTCTCCCCGTTTTGGGCCTCCAGGGCGGCCCTCGTCGCCAGCGCTGTATTCGCCTCGAAATCCCGGTCAGAACGCACCCCTGGAGAGGTCTGGGCAGTAGCGGTATCGGAACCTTTCGGTTTCCGCACATCGTGGGGCCCGCGCTGACGGAACGGAGGCGGCGGAGGCGTTAGCATTTTGTTCGAAGAGCGCCTGCACGCCACTTGCTTCGTGTTGGCGTTCTTCTTACTTATCGATTGCTACGTCTCTCCTATGTCTTTCCAGGTTCTGACCTACGATCGGTTGTTCCTGCAGCGCACCGTGACGACGACGACGGCGGCGAGGGCGGGTGGCATGGGCTCCAAGCCCGAAGAGCCTGTAGCGAACGGCCCAGGGCAGGGGCCAAATCCCCCCCGCGCGTCCAAGCTCCCCGCGCGAACCTGGCCGGCATCGCAGGGAATTACATCCGGAAAGCGCAATGATTCAGGAGAGAAACAAGTACCACCACCACCACCAGCTAGGGGGGGGCTGTCCCACCCTCTCGAGCTGGTGGCACCTCGTCCCGGGTATGCCTCCAGAGAGTGCCTGGAAGGAGGTGTCACCAGCTCGAGGGGAGGGGGCGGCCCCCCCCCCTAGCTGGTAGTAGTGGTACTTTTGTCTCTCCTGAATGAGGCAGGAATCAGCGCCTCCGCCCTACATCCCTGATGGGGCGCCGGGACGCATCCCGGCCCATCTGCGGCGGAACAAGGGAGGCGCGGGACGGCCACGCCCCACCGTCACACGCCCTTCGCTGCCACCGCTGCTGCTGCGGCAGTCCTTCCCCCGGACTGAAGATCGATAAGATGGACAGGGTGAGGCGCGACGCGCTTGTGAAGTGTCCGCCGAGGGCGGGCCGCCTTCCCCCCCTCCTCTCCTCGTCCTCCGCCTCCCTTCCGCTTGGGCTGGCCGACTGGCCCGCATGGTTATCAGACTAGTCCAGAACTGCTCTCGCTCCTGTCCTACTTCACTCCCTCCCTCTTTCTCGTTCCCATTCGCGGCCGTGTTTTCCCAGTGGCCTTGCGCTTCTAGCGCACAGATGACGCTCTTGCTGATCCAGGGCGGCTTATCTCTATTCTCTTCTTTGTTAGTTTCTCTCCTGCTCTCTTTGGTTGCGCTCTCTCTCTCTATTTTTTGTTCTCTCTCCCTCTCTCTCTCTCTCTTTCTCTCTCCCTCTCTCCCTCTCCAGCCAAACGCAGCCGCTCTGCACCCCCTCTCAGCGATGCTCCTTCCGTTCCTCCCCCTTCCCCCCCAGCCGCTCTCGCAATTTCCCTCTGTTCCTCCCTCTCCCCTGCCCGCTGACCCCTCCCTCTCCGCTCTCCTTGCTCCTCCTCATCCTCCCCATCTTCTTCGTCATCCTCATCCGTCTCGTCTGCCCCACGCCAGCAAATGCACAAGCCGACGGTGAGGGCCAAGAACCAGATGTCAAGGTGCGCGGGGAGGGCAGGGCTTGGGGTATGATCGGGCGGTCGCTGGCCGTTGTCAAGTCTGTGCTCGGCCTTGACTGTAAGGCATCCAGCGAGTGCTGAAATCTTTGTTTTTGTCATGTGAGATGGATCTAGGGCTTATCGGTAGCCTATGTTTTGTTAGCTTTCTTTCACCCTGAGCTAGACAGGAGTACGCACTAACCTGGGCTCGACAACTTCGCACTATGCTCCCCAGTGATTTTGACAATTGCGCACCACTCTCTGTCTGGCCTTGATGCGACGGCTACGAGACAATACTTTCGCGTTGGATGTGCGTGCTTAGCCGTGTCCGAGGGTTCATGTACGATTGTTCGCTTTCGGACAGAACATCTTGCTGGTCTGGCTCCTGGGCAGCAGACCTGGTGTCGCAGTGTCGTCATGTTGCGGTGTCGCAGCGGGTGGCGGGGCGGTGGGGTTGTCTCGCGGTGCCGTGGGTGTCGTCGTGGTGCCGTGGAGTCGTCGCGGTGTTGCAGCGCACGTTGTCGTATCGTTGAGATTGGACTAGAGCGAAGGCCAGAGCTCAAGCCAACGCTGGCTGGAGCTGTAGCCGACTCTACAGCACGAGCTGAAGCTAAAGACACACCTGAACGTACGGCTAAGCTAATGCAGTGCCAAGGCTGAGGCAAAGTTGAAGCTACATCCACACCAGCTGTAGCACTCGAAGAAGGTAGCGAATGTAATGAGCGTACTCACCTAGCGCGTTCCATTATTCGCAAACACCTACTCGCAAATGCCCGAACAAAAACACGTGTTCGCCTCGATGTGATGGATCGTTAACCCACCGCTGTGGATCCAGGCGATTTGCGAGTAGCTATTTTGCGAGTAGTGGAACGCGCTTGTCTACGTACACTGGGAGCTTTGCGACCTATGTGATCGCAAGAGCACGAGATGCGATAGTGCGCAATGGCTTCAACACTGCCCGACGACGCCACAAGAGGGCCCCGAGAGGACCCAAGTGGAGCCCATAGGGCCCACACGCAGCCCAGAGATGGCCGCGCGAGAGCCCCGCGACGGACGCTGATTAGAAGGTGGAGAAGGTGGAAGAGGAAGAGTCGGCGGAGATGGATCCGTCCGCCTGCCCACCTGTATCATTCTTTCCTCGCCGTCCTCATCTTCATCTTCATTCTCCGTAGCCATTGTGGCTCAAGCGCATTGCCAAGCAGACTGTCAGATGGGACCTGCGGCATTGGCATCCAGACCGCCCGCACATTCCCAGCATGGCGCTTGCTGTTCCCCGCAAAGGTAATGTTGTCATGACGGCTCGCTTCTTGCACAAGACGCGTTTGTGCACTCACTATGCGAACAGGTACTGCGCCAGGGAGGAACACTGCAGCTTTGCGCACGGGAGTGGCGACTTGCGCACAGCTCCAGACTTCTTGTACACTCAGTCGTGCAAGAGCTTCGTGAGGACCCGGAAATGCAGACAGGGCGACGCCTGCAAGTTCGCCCACGTCCCGGACAAGATGCTGCCCTGGAAGTGCAGCGAGGCGGAACACAACGAGCACGGCCCGCGGCGCGACCTCGAGGAGGAGCGCGCCCCGCGGGAGCGCGGCCCGCAGATGAGGGCTGGGCCGCGCGAGCGGCAGCCGTGCGCACAGTGACTTGCCCTGTGGGCCCTCGACGGTCGCTCGGTGACCGCAGTCCGGGCCCCACGCCTGCGGGAAGTGGCCGCGCTCTGTGGGCGGGAGTTGCCGTCGCAGTTGAAGGCCACCGTCAAGCGAACGTTCCTCCACTTCTTCGTGGCGGAGGACATGGAGGAGGACCGCCACCGCCGCTGGTCTTCGGCACTGCCTCTGGCCCGGACGGACTGGGCTCCAGGGCCCAATGGCGCCCTCCTGGCCGCGACCCAGGCACAGCGCCTGTTAATACACTCAGGTCAGGCCCCACTGATCAGCTGCTAATGCTGCTTCCCTCGCGGGTGCCAGCTCGCAGCGCCGAGACAGGCACCGCTGTGCGTTCTTCAGCAAGGGTGCCCGAGGGTGCAGGACGTTTGAAAGAGCGGTCGACAGCTATCTCGCACACGCGATGGCATCAATCTTTTGGGCAGGCCGAGCTTCTGGATGAGCGCATCCCGCAGTTGGGGCTGATATAACCGCTGCGTGATCTGGATGGAACCGCTCAGGAACGCAATTTCGTTGGCGACCACATCGTCCATATCGGATTGGAAAGCCTTTATCGCTAGTCTCTTCTCCTAGCATGATGCTACCAAGTTTTCCATGCTCTCCACCGGAGCCGTGTTCTTCACCCGCTCTTCGGCGTTCGTAGATCATTTGCGGAAAACTGTGCGATATCGGATGCGCGAGTTGAGAAACGATCGGCTTGAACCAAAATGTTTTCGGATCGTGCGAACGATCCTCCTTTCTTTTGTTCTTTCCTGCACAGGAGGGGCGACGGGCCCGAAACGAGCGACGTTGCGAACTTTATGCAGCCCACATGTTGGAAGGCCCGTTTGTGCGAATTAAGGAAAATAAAGGACTGCTGGAAAATAGTTAGTCAAGGGGCTACATGGCTAATTAGCGCGGACTGGACCCTCAAGGTGGCTCCCATAGGGGGCCCCGCCGAACTCGCCAGTGGCAGGGATCGCGTGCTGAGTCACCAGGATCTCGCACACCCCTCGCCCGTGCGTGGCCCCAAATCGTAACGGGGTGCCCCGAGAGGGCCCCGGTAGGCGCCCGGGGAGCCTTCGATAGTGACGCGCCAGCGACGGCACTCGACCGCGGCGCCATGCCAACCCCAAGAGGCCCACATGGCTCCCTGTCGCCCAAAAGCTTCCCCCTGAGGCCAAAGCCCCACCCCGCAAGTAGCCCCCCAGAAAGATCCGTTTTGAATTCGAGAACCGCCCTTGCATTCTTCATTGGCACATGGGCAATTTGCGGTGTGCGTTCCTGGGGAGCGGCTAGAACTTAAGCGCGTGCGAAGCGTGCGCGCGTGGTTCTGGCCGGCGACCGGGTCCCTGCGCCAGGGGGCGGCCCACTCCACCTCCCCGGCGTCAAAAGTTGAGTCCTGGAAGCCGGCGGCCCCCTGAACCTGAAAAGCCTGCTCGGCGACCCCATCGGACGCTCAGAGGCCGCGGAAACGGTTCCAAGACGGTCCAAGATGATCGTAAAAAGGGCCCAAGAGGGTTCCAAAACGGCCGAAGACCGCCCGATGAGAGCGCCGAGAGGCCTTCCAGGAAGCCTTCGAGAGACTTGAACTCGATTGTCGTGTAATGTTGGCATTGTCCATTTGCTTTTAACATTTTTCTCGGCGGCCCAGGAAGCCCCCAAGAGGGCCCCAAGACGGCGCATAACCACCCCAAGAGGGCCCAAGAGTCCCTCGAAACGAACCCAAGAAGCTCCGATGACAGCCCGAAGACGCCCCTAGAAAACCGTCAGGTTGCCAACGCCGGTATCCAAAACAGCATCCGAAGGCGTCTGTCGGGCTACGAACGCTCTGAGACAGCCAAAGAGGCCCCCAAGAGAATTCGAGAGGCCCCAAAAGCGGCCCGAAGCGGCCACGAATAGACATCAAATCGGCTTCCTAGATGCCCCGAAGAGCTCCTCCATAAGATACAGAGATGCCCCACACGAGCCCCACGAAGACGGCACACCATGCTCTTGAGGGAATCCAATCCCCAGAGCTTCCCAGTGGCTCAGAAGAGACTTTCAAACGGCCCTTGGGAGTCCCAACGCGGCCCAAATAAAAGCTTTGGCAGCTCAAGAGGATTTCGCGGCGTCCGCGAAAGGTGCCCCAACAGGGCACCCGTTTCAATGTGTCGGGTGTACCCGTGTCGTCGATTCGTCTTTGTTGGATCCGCGGCGTTGCTTTTTCTTCAGTTGATATCCGAGGCAATTGTGGTGAGTGTAGCTGTGAGCTGGCCACGGGCTGGGGCGTGCTGGAACCTAAGCGAGCACGACACTCGCGGTACGAGCATTGGAGCGACACGAAGCGAGAAACGAACGATTTTATTCCAGTTGCTCAATGCATTCATCCTGCAACTCCGCTCAAAGCGTATGCCTGGGCGTTCCTGGAGAAGGAGGAGTAAGCAGGGGATAAGGCAAACGCGTAAAATCTGGGGGGGGGGGGGGGCCTCCAAAGATGTTCAATGCTGATGCCTTCGACAACGACGACGACGACGACGGCGGCGACAGCGGCCATTGCAGTGAAAATGAGGGCGGTGAGAGCGCATTCAACGGCTCGCACCATGCGGGAGACTGCGCTGCAGTTGTGAACGTGTCAGGGCGCTGCGAACAGCCGTGAACAGCATGCGTACATGCACGCAGCAGTGAGCTTGCAAATGGTCGGTGCTTACTAAAATCTGAGCGCGCGCGCGAAGCGCGCGCGTGGCTCTAGTTGGAATCCATTGCACAACGAGCTTGCCGCAGTCGCCGATGTTTTGTCAAGGCGAAGCGGGTGGGTCGCGGTTGAGTCTCGGGGCTGGTCGGCCGCTGAAGAAGTGTAGCTCACCTGGCGGCAGTAAGAGGTGGATGGGGATGGGGGCAGAGGAAGGGTCGAGGGAGGTGGTCGTGGTGGTCGGCCGTGGGAGGGATGCATGATCCGGGTGGCGTCTGGCTCGAGTGTGCCGGGTCTCGCCGCTTCCCGACGTTGTTTCGGCGGTTGACGTCCCAGTTTTCGTCTGCCTTGCGGAGCGGGAGGTCGCGTCAGACTTCAAGCGAGGTCGCGCCATCTGTTCTGACGGCCACGTCAGAGCACGGGGAACTTCTCGTTGATGCTGCGCAGTCGAGTGTTGCCGAGTGGGAGCACCTCACCAGTCCGCGCGTGCCTTGGCACCAGCACCAGCTGCAGGCTTACGTAGGATGAACGATTGCTTGTTGAAAGCACGGAGGCACGAGGAGAGGAACGACAGGGTGGCCCAGCAGGTACTTGATCAACCGAGAGACGGCTGGCGTGGAGCGGCCGCCCCTTCCGAGGTGCCACAAAGAGGCGGGGAAGGCGGAGCACGGGGACGGGCGGGAGGATGACGAACAGCAGGATGGGGGAGGAGGAGGAGGAGGAGGAGGAGGAGGAGGAGGAGGAGGAGGAGGAGGAGGAGGGAAGACGAGGAGGGGGGATGAGGGAGGGGGAGGGAGGGATGGAGGACCATGGAGGATGGGGATGAAGAGGGCGGAGGGAGGAGGATGCAGGACGAGGGGGAGAAACAACTTTCGAGTTGCCTGGCCACCACAGCAACTGCTTCAGAGCTCCAGGAATCATGCGGATCGTTTGTCACTCCGAATCTTGCCCGAGGCCCCCCTCCGGAGTAGTGGATGCTGCGCTCATGCGGCCTGGATAACATCGGGATCTTCGTAAGATTCTCGTGGTCCTTCTTGGATATCGGGGTGAAGCGCTCAGGTGGGAGGGAGGATGGGGGAGGTGTGGTGGTGGTGGTGGTGGTGGTGGTGGTGGTGGTGGCGGTGGCGGTGGCGGTGGCGGTGGTGGCGGCGGTGGCGGTGGCGGTGGCGGTGGTGGTGGTGGTGGTGGTGGTGGTGGCGGTGGCGGTGGCGGCGGTGGCGGTGGCGGTGGCGGTGGCGGTGGCGGTGGCGGTGGCGGTGGCGGTTGCGGTGGTGGAGGCGGAGGTGGCGGTGGAGGTGGAGGTGGCGGTGGAAGTGGAGGTGGCTGTGGAAGTGGAGGTGGCGGTGGAGGAGGAGGAGAAGGAGGAGGAGCACGTGGATTGCCGAATGGGGGATCGAGGCGGCGGAGGAGGAAGGGGAGGGTGTGGAGGACGGACTCGAGCTCCTTTTGACGGCCCAAGCCAAGCACATGCCGAGCAGGCCCAAGCCACTACTCGGTCGGGCGCTGCCCGTCGGCCCTCGCCTCGCCCGCTGCCTCCGTGCGCCCTCGGGCGGCAGCTCGGCGCCCGTGCGCCCCCGTCTCCCCACCACGGGCCATCGGCGGAGGTCATCGCGAGCGCACCTCGAGGGGGCCTGTCTGGGCGTGTGCCTCCTCCTCTTCCTCCTCGCGCCCTGCGGCAAGGCAAGGCATGAGGGTGCAAGCCCGACGTGCCTGGCTGATGCTCTGGGGGGGGGCTGTGCTCAGGGGAGGCCGAAGCAGCTCTCGGCGGTGTGCTGTCGACCAAGCCTGCAGGGTGGGCCCTCTCCATATTCTGTGCACTTCAGCTTTGGCTTCAGCTTCGGCTTCAGCTGTGGGTGCACTGTGAAGCGCCTTCGGGCCAGCTCACCCGAGTCGGATTTTCCGCTCGCGCGGGTGTCCCCCCCTCTTGCGCTTTCTGGCTCCTGCGTCGTGGGCCTCTTCAGGCTTCGGGCGGCGTGTTCCGCGAGGGGCACGACGGGCTGCCGAGGTCATTGTTGCGATCGTGACCAGCACGTCGGCAGCAGCAGCGGCGCAGCATCAGCGGCGCAGCCTCTTTCGCCCAGGACGGCAGTTGCCGCCTCGGGCCTCTAGCCTCTGCTTCGATGGTCCAGGAGCAGAAGTCGGCCCCGAGCTTCGCGAGGGCGTTGCGGCGCCTGGCGAACTCGCTTGCGGCTGGCCTGCAGATGGGCCCGGCTTGCTGGTCGAAGGCCACCTCCTCGACGCAGATCCCCAAGGCCTGGAACCCAAAGCCCTACGGGCAGGCACTGGCCCCCCAAACGGTGCACCACATCTCGGTCCGCAGACGTCAGCGCCCCGAGCATTTCCCAGTCTCCCGCCTGGCGGAGCGAAGCTGCGCAGTATCCGCTCGCACGGCATGGCGTGTCGCTAGGCCCCCCGCTGCGACAGGCTAAGCACATGTTCGCGGCTAACATGTGCATCCTAGGATGCAACTCTTGGGAGCTGAAATTCGGACTCGTCGCTAGTGCATCCGTGGTCGAAGCGCTGCGCAATCCGGCATAATCCTGTGTGCAATTCGGCTTATTAATCCCGTTCGATCCCGCTGAAGTTGGCGCAGTCGCGCTTAATCCAGTAAATTTGGATTTAATGCGGCCTCATGGCTCCTGATCGGGCTTCATAGCCTTTACTCGTTCTGGCGAAGACCTCCCAGCAGTTGCCTGCTGATGCATTCCAACCCTCAGGTTGTTCTCCTCAGGCTTGCTAGAGCTCAGATTGGGCCGCGACCGCTGGCCGAGGGCCAGACGGGCAGCGAGGTCGACTGGGCGGCCAGCGCTGCGGATCGCGCGAAACCCGCGTCCAAGGAGTCCAGCGCCTCATGCGAGGTGGTGACTCGGGGTCACCGCGCGGTTTTGGGACTCGGGGTCGCTCGCCAGGGGCGTCTCGGGCGACCGGGGCCTCCGAGGTCCCAAGCCCGTGCGGAGACGGATCGTGCGGTCATTCCACGACGCGTCGCCACCCCGCTTTGGATCCCAAAGAGATTGGAGGTGCTCAAAATCGGCCCCTCGGACCTCGCTCAGCTGATGGCGGCCAGCAGGAAGGCGCCTTCTTTGACGCCCGCGGGGTCTGGGCTCGCCTGTGTCGTGCGTGCGGCGTCCGCGCCCTTCATTCAGCGGCAGCCTCGTCGAGTTGCTGGAAGGAGCTTCCTGCAGTGTGAGGCTCCCGTCCTGCTGCCCGTGCCGTCGAAGAGGTGGCAGTGTCCCGTCGCCCGGCCCGTATCAGCCAAAAAGGTGGGTGACAGGAAAAATGAGGTGCGACCGAAAACGTGCCCGATATTGTGACCGAGAACGTAGTGCGACCGAAATTGTAGCGGAAACTGACAAAAGCATTGGCTCTGACCATGGCGGTCCCATTCGGGCGCGGTCAGAAAAATTCGGGCGCGGCTTCGGTCACACGCGGGTCGGTTTTCGGGCACACTTTGGGCAAACGCATCGGCGGGACGAGCAGGGCGCCATCCAGCACGCGGGGATGCTGGGCTCCAGGCCAACAGGATGGCCGCGTACGGCCCAGGTGTCAGAAACAAAATTCCTGGCGATCCGGATTCTCCCAAACGTCAGGGACCGCGACAACAGGGGCGAGCTCGAACCTCTCATCGGCCGCTGCGCCCCCTGCGCAGTGATCAGAGGGGTCGCTGGCTTGTTTCGGTGCCGTCTACACTTTCGCGCGTTTGACATATCGAGTTGGCTCGCCCGTCGGATTCCGCGCGGCGCGACTCGCACATGTACCCCCTCGGGGCGTCCTCGTCGCCCGTCGGCGTCTCGATTCAGAGCGGTCCCGGTCATCGTCGGACGCGCGGGAGATCGACGAGTCGCGCCTCAGTCGTGGCCGATGTGCCGATCGACTTCGCGGGAAGAGCTGGGGTGAGGCTGTCGGACGGCAGGAGAGGCGACGACGCCGGCACGCGCATTCGCTCTGATCCTGGCCCCAGGCGACCACGCGATCGCGCGAGTGGGGACCGAGCGAAGACGCGCGGATTCGAGGACACGTGAAACGCGGGATGTTCCGAACCGAACGTCCGAGGGATTTCGCTTCAGGCCGTCGCATCGGCCGGGCGGAGGCACGAGGGAGCTCTGAGGCCATGCGTGCTATGTGCGCGCGGGTTTGCATTGGGTATTCGAGTTCATCTGTCCGAGCTAACCTTTTAGCCGTTTGGGCAAGCGCATGCTGCTTCTGGGGGCAGCGCACCCCTCGCAGCTTCCACGGGCCCGAGTCCTCAACGCAATGCGGTGGCGGTCTGCCCTACTTCTCTGCGTTGGCAACTCCGCGCGCCGCGCGTGGCAGCCGTTCGGAGATCGACCGCGCGGATGAGCTCAGCCGATGGGTTCGACAACCTGGTTGGCCGCTGCCGGAGCGGCTCTCCCCGCCCGATCTCGCCGCCGACCCCCGCTCCGATCCCAATCGCAAGGGCGCGGAAAGGAGACGGACAGCAAGGTCTGTCCATTCTGGACATGGCCGTCGGCGTCGCCGCGTACCTGGTCCATTTGAAACGAAAGGTCGCCTGCCTAACAGCCGCCGCTGCCCGTTTCGCGAGGCCCTGCGCGCCGAATCGCTCGGCTCGGTGCCTGCCGCGCGCCGGGCCTGCAGCGGCCCTGTCGGGCCCGCCTGGCGCCGTCGCGCGGGGCCCTGCGACGCCGCGCCGGCGGCTGGTCGGGCGCCGAGGGCAGCCGGGATTCTGGGCCGCCCCCCGCGCCCGGCCGCTCCGCGGCCCCCGGGCGCTGCGCGCGCGCCTGCCCGCGACGCGGTGATCTAGCTGGGCCGCGCGGGGCAGGCCGCGGCGCGCGCGTTGCCCGCGGCCCCCTCTTCATGCGCTAGCGGGGCCAGGGCGATCTGATCGGGCCAGGCTGCGAGCTGGGCGCCGGGGTCGTCCAGTTCTTCGACCGCGCGTGCCTGGGGGGCAAGGCGTCTTCGTCGGGCAAGTAGGTGATCGGCGCCATCGCGATGTTCCCCCAAAGCCGCCACCCGCTGCGCGGGCTGCCCCTCCCACGCGCGGGCCGAGCGTCGCCCGGCTGGAGAGAGCTGCGGCGCCCGCCAAGACGCGCCGCCTTTTCCATTGGGCAGTGCGCCGCGGGTTGGCCGCGCCGCTGTACGTCGCCTCACTCGCCGACGATATCTCGCGCGGTGCCATGGCGGCCCCGGCCGGCGAGGCCGCGCCGCCGCCGGCACCCCAGGCGCTTACGCTAGTCGTTCAAGTCGACCCCAGCAACCTGCTGCGACCAGAGCTGGGCGAGATGGGCGAGTCGCTCGGCGCCCCCCAGAGGTGGGGCGGCGCGCTTTGCGGCCTGGGGGCCTGGGCCGAACGCCGGCGGGGGCTGCGCCTGCGGATTTTTCGCCGGGCTCAGTTCAGGGAGCTGTTCGCTCTATACTTGTCGACGTGCTCGTGATCCCCCGGGCCCCCCTCGTCCCTCTCTCGAGCTCGACCCCATCCATCCTCTCACGCCCCCTCTTTCCTTCCCCCCTTGCAGTCTCTCCTCCCCCTCGCATTTCTTCTCGGAAGACGCGGCCATCGCGAATGACGCGGTGGGCCGCGCAGGTCGGGCCCCAGGGGCCTCGCCCTGGCGCCGCGCGCGCCCCCGCCGTTCGCGCGCGGGCTCTGATCGTCGGGGGGCAGGTGCTCGATGGGCACATTGAAGAAGGGGGGCGCTGGCGGACGCTCAGCAGCGCCCGCCGGCGCGGGGGCTGCCGAGGGAAGTCCGGTCAAGCCCCCCTGCCGGCGCAGCCTCTGCGGCCTGCCTGCGCCGCCGCGTAATTCGCCAGACATGCTCGCTCGGCTGCGCGCCTGCAGCGCCGGCGGAAGGCGGCGGGCCCGCGCTGGAAGTTCGGGCAGTTACGTCGAGCAGTTCTCAGGCTCGGAGGCGCGAGGCCACGGCGTGAGACGCAGCCGTTGCAGAGTCCATGAGTGCGATATCCCCCGCGGGCTCGCTGGCGACTTGCCGAGGCGGCCTGCGACGCGACGGGTGCTCAGCCCCAGCGGGCGCAGGCCCAGCTGACAAAGTGTCAATATTTGTACATCGCGGCAGTTCGAGTTCTCGATGGATAGAGGCGTTTGGGTGTCCCGTCTCTGAAGGGGGACCCGCGGGGCACTTACTTATGCCGCGCGTGCGATTCCAGACGCGCGCCAGCCTGGCCCCAAGTATTAATCGAAATCACACTCCACTGCGGCTGGGGGATTAGCTGGGCGACACAAGCAGCAATTTGATGTGTTGATGTTGCCCGATTCCAGCCGTCTTCGCAGAAAGTGAATAATCTGGGCCCTACCTGCGCGCATGCTGCCCAGCCACGGCAGACGTTGCAGGCCAGGGCTCCTTGAATTCATCGGCCTAAAGGGCACCTCATTTGCGGCCCCGCCCCCTTGCGCTCCGTCTTTGCAGCGTCTTTCAAGACGCAGTTCGTGGTCTTCAGTAGGTGCGCCTGGCAGCGGCGACTGCTCGGCTCAGCGGCTGCAGCGGCCCATCCACCAACTGCGAGCAACGCCAAGCGCAGACCACCAGCAACGACGACAGTTCAGCGTAGACATCAGGAAGGACATTCGATGCCACAATCGACATCAAGACGGGAACGCATAGCAACAGTGCGATTGACATGTCGCGGTTTGGTGCACCACTCGTAATGGCATCGCGAAAGTGTTCGCCGACTTCTTCGAGTCCTTGTTTAAGTTCACTGGTCTACTGCGGCCACCTTAATCACGGCGCCAACGCGATGTGACCCCAGCATTCAAGACCGACGAGTTCCACGACGCAATCTCACAGCTCAAATGCGGGAAGGCACCAGGCGCCAATGGCATCGCAGCTAGGATGCTGAAAGCGGCATCTTGCGAGCTCAAGGATGCGTTCCTTCATCTGTGCGCAGTTTCCAGACCTGGGGCACCCCCGCCAGACAGCTGGCGACGAACGGTCATCGCCGTTGCCCCCAAGAGCGGAGACCCAGAGCGAGCGTCCAACTACAGACCAATCTGCACCGTGCCGCTGCTATATAAACTCTACAGCCGCCTCCTGCGCGACCGCCTCCAACCCGCGCTAGACGAGCAACAGACCGCCGACCGTGCCAGATTCCGACCTCACCACTGAACGACCGACCACTTCTTTACGTTCCAGATCATACGCGAACGTGCCAATGTGAATGGTGTCGAAGCCAATGGGTGGCGGCACTCGACATCAGGAAGGCCCTCGACTCCGCCGAACGCGAGAGCCTCAGGCAAGCAGTCCGCGCGCAAGGCGCACTGCCAGGCAACGTGGCCATACTCCGACATGTATGCCACGGTCAAACAGCCGCGGCGAGAACCGACAGTCGCAGCCGACCGTTCGCCCTGCTCTGGGGCACCAAACAGGGTGACCCTTCTCAGCAGTTTGCTGTTTAACTCACAGCTGCAGCACATGATGCAACTACTCGCCGACAAGTGGGCGGCCACCAACCATGGGGCGACAATCGGCGACGCCAGAGCGAGCATGCATGCCAGCCTCGGCCGACTTACTCCTGACAGACCAATCACTACCACGATTGACAACCATGCTCGCCGGCATGGTCACTGCGCCGAGGTCTTGAGCTACGCCCGGCTAAGTCCAGGATCGCGACGAACCTCGGCAAGTGCACAGGCAGAGCATGCGCGCGCAGTAGACATCGAAGGCATGAGCATCGAGATTCCACCTCGCATTGGCAAACTGAAGTACCTTGCCAGTTGATCACGCTCCACGGCGCGACGGACACGGAGCTGCAAATCCGACTCCGGTCATTGTGGGCGACCATCCCATTGACTCCGGCTCTTTGATTCGAATTTCTTGCTCGCATCACTCTGCTTCGGCAGCGCGGGCGCTCGCGTAACCTCGACGACGGCAGCTGCGCGCCGCCCAGATGCGCATGATCCGCGTGATCATCAGCACGACAAGACGCAGACAGCCACGACCGCCGCATCGCCCCATGCACCGCGACGTCGTCGACGCCGCATCCGACGCCCGACTCCGACGCTACATCGTTCACGGACGATGTAGACGGCAATCCACCTGCCAGCGACAACGACCACGCCCGCGAGGACACGCAATTTGAAGGACACAACGCCGACCACAACGACGACCTCGAGCCATGGGTCGACTTTGCGCGCCGAGCAACTCACCGTGCGACACATTTCACGCAGCATCGCAACGTGGAGTTCTGGACCACTACACTGAGTTACTACGCAGCGACGTCGGACATGGCGCTTCGCAAACGCTGTGGCCAACCACCCGACCCACAGATGGACAAAATCTGTCGTCCATGGGCGCCCTGCGCGCAACCAACGTCACAACGGGAGGAGAGCGCAAGGCCGACAAGCCAAGCGTCGGGACGACGACCTGGCGAACTATCTTCGGGCCGGGCCACCCCGCATGACCTCCAACATCCTCGCGACCCGAACGGCGTCAGATGGATGACGACAGCCACCGACACCACATTATGGCTGCAGCTCGAGGAGGGATTCATCGGAGCACCAGCACGGAGAACCAGGACTACAAGACATGACGTCAGCATGCACCGCGACGCCAGCGATGCACGCTTCTTGCATGTTAACAGTCGGACCCTATCCTAGTCACTTGGCGTTTCACAGAGAGGCTACGGCCTGAACGTTCGCGCCCTAATTGGTACGTATACTCATCCGAGAGTGAGCGCGAATCGAACAACAGCGAATTCGAAGTGTGCCTGCACATTTGACTGCAACACATATTGCCTCGGAGGACTCGCTACATGTGGTCAGATGTGTTCAGGTTCCCTAGGGTGGGAAGCCGTCCTTGACGCCACTCGTTCAATCGCGCGTGGTCCCTGGTCCCATCGTTTTTGGGTTTGGTGTCGAAAGCGCGACCCCTATCGTTTTTGTTTGTTGTGTCTAAGATTTGCCTAAGGGTGCTTACATGCTTGTGAATGAGATTGATGCGTGTTTGTGAGGAGCGCTTGGATTGCCCTGACTTGCATTGGGTTGCCAGCGGCCCCACAGCATTGCTCGAGCATGTCCCGGTTTTTCCCCAGGCAACACCAAGGAACGCCAAGCAATCTTAAGCAACGCCACGCAATGCCAACTAATGCCAAGCAGCGCCAAGGAATGCCACGCAACGTCAGCCGATGTCAAGAAGCAAAGCAAGGTATCGCCAAGCAGCGCCAAGCAATGCGAAGCAACACCAGGTAATGCTGATCAGCGCCAGGCAATGCCAAGCAACGCAGAGTCAAGCAAGGACAAGCAAGGACAAGCAACGATGTCAAGCAACGGTTCCAAGCAGTGCTAAGCAAACGCGTCGTACTGCATTGTGCCCTTCAGAATCGCCGTGGACTGCAGCGGAAGAGAGCCCGGTTCGCTGTGTGGTTGTTTCCTGATTGGGGTCACGCCCGGCTCGCTGTCAGGATCCCTGATTGGGGTCGCGCCCGGTTCGCTGTTTGCTTGTTTCTTATGCGGCACGCCTGGCGGTGCGTTTGGTCGCGGCCGCGCGGACGGCCTGGCGGCGGTGCGCCGCCGCCCCCTCCGGCGTTGTGCAGTCTACGCGCCCGCCCTCGGGCTCCTTGGCGGCCGAGCCCTGGCCAGGTCTGGGCAGGACGCGCAGTGCCACAGCGACGCCGTCGTCGGTGCCGTCGGCGTCGTCGTCATCGTCGTCCGATTGTCTTCGCTGTATGCGTCGTCGAGGAACAGGGTGGTGCCACCTTTTTTTTCCCTCCACGAGATGCGGGGCGCGCAAGGCAAACCGCAGTCGCGCGTGTAGCGGCCGCGCACGGGCCAGAGCCGTAGTGTCCCTGGGCTGGACCACGCACGCGGGCCTGCCTTGGGGCAGGGGGATGGGGCCTCCCACAGTTCTCTGAGGAGCCAGAGGTCCTGAGATCAGATGTCCAACCGCGTGGGTCCCCTGTTGAATGTAGTCATCCAGCTTGCGCGCGCCGAAAACCGACAGAAATCGCCGAAAGCAACTGAAGACCACCGCAGACCGTCAGAAGTCCGCCGGAGACCGCCCAGGGACGATGACGGCAACAAGAGCTCTATGCTCGAATGCGCATCTGAACGTGATACGTTCCAGGATATCCAAATATTTCTGCTGTCCCGCGCGGACTCCAGGGACGAGGGCCGCTAGATACTCCAGACCTCCTGGAACGCATCCTGATCCAAACGCATCATGCCATCCTTGTCCTTGTTGTGCCCCTCGCTCGCAGAGCCACTCTGCCCAGCCCTGCAGCCTTGGTCTCTCATGCCTCCCGCCGCCACCGCAGGACCTCTCGGCACCGCCTCTGTGGCGGAGCTCACCGTCGCCTCCGCCTGGCGCCCTCGAGGGCGGCGAGGTGGTGGCCGCGCTGGAGGCCGTGACCGCGAGCGGGTGGGATGGACGGGGGCCCCGTCCTTCAACCTCATGGAGAATATTTTTCTATCCTCAGGCGCGTCACGGTCGTTAACCGCATATGTCCCGGTTCATCCCGCGCATTCTGGCCCAGTCCCGCTTAGTCCAGCTATATCCCGCTGAACCCCGGCCTCTTGGGCGCCGTTTTGGAGCGTAGGGAAGCAGGAGAGGCGCAAACGCCGAAATCATCCCAAAATCTATATCTACGGTTTTTGTTTTCGAGGCGCTCTTGGGACTGCTCCCGGAGGCTTTTTTCAGCGTCTTTCAGGATTCTTGGACCGTCTGGAGGCCGTCCAGGCGTGTTGGACCAATCGTTCGGCGATTCGGGGCCCTCGTGAATTGTCTTTGCGATCTTTTCGGGCCCGTCTTGAGGTTTTCTGCGACCCAGGAGCCCCCGGAAGGGAAGCGTATCTGACCCCGGACCCCCCTGGGCCCAAGCCCGGACCCAGAACCCCCAGGACCCCCCGTGGTCCGGACCTGGGTCCGGACCTGGGACACCCTCCCCTGGTGGGGGAGGGATCAACAGGAAGGGGCTTCCTTTCGAGTGTATCACGACGTTGCTCAATTTCGCTTTGGCTGACGCGCTTGAGGAGGAGAGCCCAAGAAAGGAGAGGGGAGCGGCGACGGGCACAGGGCAAGGAAAGCGCAGGGAAAGAGGACGACAGAGACGACGATGAACGAATGACGGCGACGACAACTTGAACGGAAAAGCCCCTCACACGCTCCGACAGGGTCGGCGGATTTGCCTCTTGAGGTGCTCTTGGGGGTTCTCTTGGGGCCCTCTTAGGACATCGTTGGAGCCGCTTGGATCGTCTTGAGGCCAACCTGGGTGATCTTGGGGCTTCCCTAGTGCGTTGGATCCCTTCTTGAGCCATCTGAGAAGGCATTGTGGGCATCTTGGAGGCCACGGGACACCAAGCGGAGGTCGGTGGATTTCATGCGCAGCCCGCATGCTCAACCCGTGTGCGAAGCCCGCGCGCGCAGTCCCCAGGCACTATCATCATGCGATGTAGACAATGTTGGTCCCGCGGGGGCGCGCCAGGGTCCGAGACCTTTGCGACCAAAGGAGGAATTATATGACATAGCCACTTGGATAGCGAATTCGGAGGCTGAGACTCGCGCATGGGCACACCCTTCACCGATTTCTAAAGTTGAGAGGCTTGGTCAAACGCCACAGCGACAGTCAGTGCCAGCTGACACGGAAGCGGAGTCTGAACGTGTCGGTATCATTAAGGTTGCTTTTGGAGTTTTTCCAGTTGAAGCTTGTGATTGAGTTCAAGCTGAGGTACAGACAGGTAACACTTGAAAGTGATCGTGCTCCGCAACGGGAGCACCCACCCCAGCGACATGTCGCGCATACTCAGCAAAGCCTGGCTCCGCGTCCACCCTTTTCCTACCCAGCAGTAAGAGTTCCTAACTATGAGGAAAGTGATGGGAGGCCTCGCGACAAGCGCAATGGTTGTATCACCTAGTCCACACGTCCGCCCCGTCAAATATGGTACGACGCGTGCGCGGCGACGGTCCGACGTGTGTTCCGATGCAACTCCGACGTGACTCCGACGTAAAGCCGAGGTACATCCGAGGTAAACTCGACGCGAATCCGACGTGGGTCCGACGTGAATCCAACGGAAGTCCGACCAAGGGGCCGCGCGAGGCCTCCAGGGTTTTCCCCACAATCCTCGTCTCCCACTCTCCTCCTCTCCCCCTCGCCCTCCCCCGGAACCATCCCTCCCGCCACCCTGCTCCTCCTCCTCCTCTTTCCTTCTCTCCTCCGCTTCTCATCCCCCTCCTCCCTCCGCCCACTCCTCCTGCTCCACCACCACACCCTCCTCCACCTCCTTCTCCTCCTCCGCTCCTCCTCCAGGGTGGCGCCGACCAAGTCTGCGCCTTGGCCGCGGCAGGAGGGGGCGCGCCGAAGCGTCGGAGGTGCTCTGAGCTGTGGGGCCGTCCTGCAGGCAGCGAGCTTCCCCTCAATGTCCTCTTCTTCCCCTCGCTTAGGATACAACAGGCCTCGAGCGAAACGGTGTTTTGACGAATTCGTGGACCGTGGTCGATTCGATTTCGTTTTGCAGCAGAGGTGGAACGAGAACACATCGAGGGAAAGCCGTCGCACATCGAAAGCGGAAAACATTGTTTAGCTCGAGCCTTGGGATGCAATTCTTGCGAGGTCATGTGCAGAATCGGCGCTCGTATAGCCCTGGTCGAAAACCCGCGAAATCTGGCTTCATCCCGCTTCAATCCCGCTTACTTCTGGCCTAGCCCCGCTCAATCCCGCCAAATCCCGGGTTCAATCTTGGGCCTCATCTGACGGAATCCCGCTCAATGGCCCATCAGTCGGGCTCAGTTGCCCTTCATCGTTCTGGCGAAGTCTAGGCCGCCTAGCTGGGGTCGGAGTAGATGGGGTCGGAGGATCGCGCCGCTTCGGCGATGCATCGCCGATGCGGCTCGATGTGGAGCCCGATCTGCTTCACGTCGACGTCGCCGATGCATAGCCCACGTCGACGACGCATTGCCGGTGCATCGCCGATGCATCGCCGATATATCAGCGATGCGGCGCGATCTATTCCGACCCCGTCTATTCCGACCCCATCTAGGAGGCCTTCTACGAAGACATCCCAGCAGTTGCCTGCTAACCTCGGCGAGGACGGCCCCGTGGAGCCCCGAGTGGTGATCAGCGAGGACGGCGACCTGCAGCTGCAGCTCGACGGCTCGCCGCCGACCTCGCCACCGCCGCCGTGAGCCGCCACGGCGCGGCCGCGCTCGTCCCTCCCGCGAGGGAGTCGGCTCATTCGCGGAGGAGGTTTCACTCAGCTACGGTAGGCGCACACATACCAGTGAAGTAACAGTCGTAGAGACGTGTTCCTGTACCTCCCTCGGTATCTTATGGGTACCTATTGGGATTCCTAATTTGGTTGGGCAACAGGGGCTGGGGAGTTGGGAAAGGGTCATCTTAGAAAGGTTACTACGTGAGTGAGTCAAAGTAAGAAAATTATCGTCTTGAAGATTATTAGGAACCCAGATATTCGGGGCATCAGGGACGAGACGACGACTGAAGGGCTGAGATCCCGGAAGGGCCGAGGCTCACCTCTATAGTGGTCTAGCTCATACCCAGCCCATACATTAGTAATCGATTGTGCCCTACTAGGAGCGGGTGAGCGACTAGTAAGCTACGAAGACGGTCTTATCGATGTGTTCCTGAGACGACCCTTCCCAATTCCCCGGCCCCTAATGTCCAACCAACCTAGTAGGGTCAGGCAACTACGGGACTGAGCTACGAAGGGCGGGCCCGCAGGCGGGTGCGCGTGAGCCCCGTCCCACCCCAGCAGTTACTGCGGAGGTATGACGGATGGTGAACCTGTATCGATCCACATCTGACCGCCTGCAGTTGGCGTGAGCCCCGTCTTACTGCGGGGGTAGCACGGATGGTGAACCTTTATCGATCCGCACCTGACCGCTTGCAGTTGGCGTGAGCCCCGCCCCACTCCAGCAGTTACTGCGGGGGTAGCACGGATGGTGAACCTTTCTCGATCCACACCTGATCGCCCAGTTTGCGCAACTATTATTCGGAATATCCGGCTGCCCGTGATGACAGTGATGAGGCAGAAGACGCAGGACGTGCGACGGAGCACAGCAACGGTAAAGGCACACAGACGCTCCCGACCACTGCAAACGAGATGACAAAATATGCCACGCTCGTCTGTTGGCGAGGGTCCTGAGACGGCCTGCGCTGACGTTCAGCTGCCGAGGACTGGGAACAGCGCACTCTCCGAACCCTCTGGTACCTGAAGCCTCACCCTCGGGACGGCCGGCAGGCTGTCCTCGAGCAGCGTTGGCCTGGGCAGCTGGAGCCGTAGACGATCGGCATGGCGAGGCCGGGGCAGCTGGAGACGCAGGCGACCGAGACGAAGACGGAGTCGGAGTCGAAGTCGGAGTTGGAGTCGGAGTCGGGGTCGGAATCGGAGTCGGAAAGGGAGTCGGACCCAGAGACGGAGTAGGAGCCCGAGTCGGAGACGGAGCCGGAGCCAGAGTCGGAGTTGGAACAGGGGTCGCAGTCGGAGTTGGAGCCAGAGCCCGAGATGGAGCTGGAGCCGGAGTCGGAGTCGGAGTCGGAGTAGGAGTCAGAGTCGCAGTTGAGTCGGAGTCGGAGTCGGGACAGGGGTCGGAGACGGAGTCGGCATCAGAGTCGGGGTCGGAGCCAGAGTTGAGCCGGAGTCGGAGTAGGAGTCAGAGTCGGAGCTGGAGCCGGAGACGGAGTCGGAGAAGGAGTCGGAACGGAGTCGGTGTCGAAGTATGAGTCGGAAAAGGGAGCCGGAGTCCGAGCGGAGAAGGAGCCGGAGCTGGAGCTGGAGCAGAAGTTGGAGTCGGAGTCGGGGACGGGGACGGCGTCGGAGTCGGAGTCGGAGTCGGAGTAGGAGTCAGAGTCGGAGGCGGAGGCGGAGGCGGAGTCGGGGTCGGTAGCCACAGCCCACGCAGCACTAACTAGCGGCACGGCGCGTCCTCGAAGCAGCACTGGCCAGGGCATCTGCAGTCATAGTTGGCCGATTCGCAGGCGCTGACGCCCTCGAAGCAGCATTGGCCGGGGCGTCTGGAGATGTAGGCGATCGGTTGAGCGTGGTGATGCCCGCGGAAGCACTGGCTGGGGGCAGCTTGCGACGTAGACGCTCGGCGCGGCGGTGTTGATGCCCTCGAGGCGGCGCTGGCCGGGGCACCAGGGAGCGTAGACGAAAGGTACGGCGGTGTGGATGCCCACGAAGCGGCGCTGGCCAGGGCGGCTGGAGTCGCAGGCGAACGGCACGGGTGTTGACGCCCACGCAGGCACTGGCCGGGGCAGCTGGAGATGTAGACAAACAGCATGGCGGTGTTGATGTCGGCGAAGCGGCATTTGCCAGGGCAGGAGGAGTCGTAATCGATCGACGCGCTGGTGTGGATGCGTTCGGCGGCGCTGGCCAGCACAGACGGCAGCACCTTGCGCAACACACTGCAGGACAGGCTCCAGGCACTCTCGCACAGCATGGGCTGCATGAAGGTCGCGGAAGAAGAAACATAATAATGATATTAATATTAATAATAATAATAATAAGCATACTAATAATAGTAATAATAATAATAATAATGATAACAAAAGGAGGTACAGCATGAGGGAAAGTGTGCCGAAGTATGAGTTTCGATGAGGGTCGAAGAAGAAGAATAGCAAAAGGAGGTACACTATGAGGGAACGTGTGCCGAAGTGCCCGAGGCGCAGACCCTGCGCCGAGGCCTTGGTGCGGGCTGCCTCGACCAGGTGTCTTGGGTCGGGGTCGGGGAGACCCCTATTCGGCCTTAATCCAGAGGCTCGAGCCAGAGGGGCACAACACACACAACGCACACCCCCCCCCCCCCCAAACACACACACACATACACACATACACACATTCACACACACATTCACACACACAGACACAGACACAGACAGACACAGACACAGACACACACACCCACACCCACACCCACACCCACACCCACACCCACACCCACACCCACACCCACACCCACTCACACACTCACACACTCACACACTCACATACTCACACACTCACACACTCACACACTCACACACTCACACACTCACACACTCACACACTCACACACTCACACACTCACACACTCACACATTCACACACACACACTCACACACTCACACACTCACACACTCACACACTCAAACACTCACACACTCACACACTTACACACTCACACACTCTCACACTCACACGCTCACACACACACTCACACACTCACACACTCACACACTCACGCACTCACGCACTCACGCACTCACGCACTCACGCACTCACACACACACACAACTAACACACTCACACACTCACCACTCACACACTCACACACTCACCCCACTCACAACCACACACTCACACTCATACACTCACACTCGCAGGCGCACCACTCGCACATTCGCACACTCGCACACTCACACACTCACACACTCCACACACTCACACACTCACACACTCACAACTCACACACTCACACACACACACGCACACGCACACGCACGCGCACACGCACACACACACACACACAACGCACGCACATACACACACACACGCACACACACACGCACACACACACCCACACGCACACACACACACACACTCACATACCCACACACTCACACAACCACGCACCCACGCACGCACGCACGCACGCACGCATGCACGCACGCAAGCACGCACGCACGCGCGCACGCGCGCACGCGCGCACGCGCGCACGCACACGCACACGCACACGCACACGCACACGCACACGCACACGCACACGCACACGCATGCGCACACGCACACGCACGCGCACGCGCACGCGCACGCGCCGCACGCGCACGCGCACGCGCGCGCGCACGCGCGCGCACACGCACACGCGCACGCACACGCACACGCGCACGCACACGCACACGCACACGCTTACGAACACGCACGCACACACGTCAACGCACACGCAACACGCACACGGCTCACGCACACGCACACGCACACGCACAGTACCCACACGCACACCTACACGCACACGCACACGCCACACGCCACGCACACGCAACGCGCACGCGCACGCGCACTGGCACGTGCACGCGCACGCGAACGCGACGCAACAGAGTGTCAGAACGCGCACGCGCACGCGCCAGCGCACGCGCACGCGCACGCGCTCGCGCACGCGTACACACACACTCACACTCACACTCACACTCACATTCACACTCACACTCGCACTCACACTCACACTCACACTCACACACTCACACACAGACACACACAGACACACACACAGACACACACACACATACACACATACACACACAGTACACACACAGACACGCACACGCACACGCACACGCACACGCACACACACAGCCACACACACCACACACAGCCACACACACACACAGACACACACACACCACACACACACAGACACACACAAACACACACAGACACACACAGACACACACAGACACACACAGACACACACAGACACACACAGACACTCACAGACACACACAGACACACACAGACACACACACAGACACACACACAGACACACACAGACACACACAGACACACACAGACACACACAGGCACACACAGACACACACAGACACACACAGACACACACAGACACACACAGACACACACAGACACACACAGACACACACACAGACACACACAGACACACACAGACACACACAGACACACACAGACACACACAGACACACACAGACACACACAGACACACACAGACACACACAGACACACACAGACACACACAGACACACACAGACACACACAGACACACACAGACACACACAGACACACACAGACACACACAGACACACACAGACACACACAGACACACACAGACACACACAGACACACACAGACACACACAGACACACACAGACACACACAGACACACACAGACACACACACACACACACACACACACACACAGACACACACAGACACACACAGACACACACAGACACACACAGACACACACAGACACACACAGACACACACAGACACACACAGACACACACAGACACACACAGACACACACAGACACACGCAGACACACACAGACACACACAGACACACACACACAGACACACACACAGACACA